AAGCCTACTTTAGCATAGCAGTTAGGAGTTGGGCTGCTAACCTCAAGGTCAGCAGTTCAAAACTACCAGCTGTTCCACAGGGGAAAGATGAGGCTTTCTGTTGCTGTAAAGATTTATAGCCTTGGAAAACCTATCCAGGGTTACTATGAGTTGAAACCAACTCCACAGCACACAACCTCTACCACCACTATAGCCTATATTCTTAAAATTGACACTGGGTTATTGTGTTTGTCCAATATATTACAGAAATAGGTTTGTTAAGAATGGCTATAAAAAGATTATAAGAGGAACACAATTTAAAAATATTTAGCTCTTCCTTTCCAAAATAGAGGAACCATGGTAGCACAGTAGTTAAGTGCTCTGCTACTAAACAGAAGGTCAGCTGTTTGAACTGGCCAGCCACTCTACAGGAGAAAGTTATAGCAGTCTGCTGCCATAAAGATTTACAATAGTATAAAGTCTCAGTAAGTGTTTAAATGTAATGTGCTTAATCTAATTATTTTGAGCTACTAGCCAAATCTTATTTCCTGGATTCTAACTCCTGTGTTATAATTTTATGACACAAGTCTTAGTTTTATCTTTTACTGCCACTGTTAATGCCATGAAGTTTCACAACCTTTATATTTTCATTAACAACTGTATGCTACAAAAACAACTTCTGAGAATACAGTGAATCATCAGTTAGTATTATTGTTTATTAAGTGAGTAATCAGTAAGTATTATTAAGTGAATTATCTAATAAAATAGCAACTGGAAACCTTCATTTACAATTGCTTTTTCACATCTGCATTATGATAATTAATGGGGTTAATAACAGCTCTAAGACACTTCTATGTTATTGTGTGTTTTAATTCGCTGGTTTGTTTTTGAAAGTCCTCAATGCATGTAAAGTATGAGGAATAAAAGGCCAATGTAATATTTGATTAATCTAATAGTATTAACAACAACAACAATGCTATTTATAAGTCCAGCTGGGTAGAAATAATTTCTTTTACCAAGATAATATATAATTTTTCTCACCACACACAATGTTCTTTTTTTAGGCAACAGAGATTATGCCAAGGATGATCCATTGGAATTTAAGTCCCACCAATGGTTTGGAGCATCTGTGAGATCAAAGCAGGATAAAATTTTGGTAAGTATTTAAAATATTTACTCATAAGTATGTTTCAGTTTGAATATTCACTAATGGTGTATTGGTTAATTGTTGGGCTGCTAGCCAAAAGGTCAGCTGCTTGACTCCACCAGCCACTCCATGAGAAAAAGATGAAGCTTTCTGCTCCCGTAAAGATTTACAGCCTAAGAAACTTGATGTTGTTGATGTTAGGTGCTGTTGAGTCGGTTCCGACTCCTAGTGACCTTGTATAGCGTTTCCAAGGAGAAACTGGTGAGTTTGAATGACTTCTCTTGCTATAAGCGGTCCAGCACTTATCCCACAGTCGTGTCAGCTCTCAGAAACTGCACAGGGTCGCTATGAGTCAGGACCAACTCAACAGCACTTAACAACAACGTAGCGTTTCTGAGGCTGTAAATCTTTGTGGGAGTGGGTAATTGTAGTCTATTTGGATGGAGATGAAGAAAATTCTGTATTTTAAAACTGACAATAAAGTTCAGTGTGCCTAGGATACAGGATATAAATACATTGATAGGTTTGGTCAAAGACCACCCGTCTAAAGATATCATCTCTAATGTCCTTCAAAAACTTGGCTCCTGTTGCTCTCCTCTTTTGTTTCTACTTTGTTAATTTTTTCCATCTCACTTGATTGTTCTCTTCAATTTTTTTCTTTCCAGTTAGGATTAGGAATAGTGTACCTGTGATTAATAAGTACTATCTCTTCTATTTAAAAATGTAGAAACAACCTTCTCTTTAGCCTTTAACCTCTTCACGTTTATTACTACCACTATTATGCCTTTTCTCAGTGTGGTGTACTGAATTATTTATGTCTCTTCTAGCCACAGGCTGTAATTTACACCAGACAATGTTTTCACCATTGGGTCTGAGTAGGAGAAGATACTGATAGGATGACATGATTCAACTTTGGATGTTAACAGAGTTCAATGTAATTGTGAAAACCTGGAACACTTAACATGGGTTTAAAATTTACCATCTCAGAAGCAGAGGTGGGGGTAGACAGGTAGACGGGTAGATGTTCTTCTGGAAGTATTTGCTCAACATATTGAATGGTATGGTGAAAGGATACTACTTTGACACACACCT